TGATTTAGAGGAAGAAATCCACATTTAAAATATTATAATTTTTGAGTGTAAAGGGAGAAAATCTACAAGCTTGTGCATGGTTCTTCTGACACTGTCACCAATTGCCAGGGAATTCTGGTGCTTGGAAATGGCACCACAGTTCTCATATTGGCTCACTTACCGCTTTGCTTCTCTTGTGTCACTACATGACCCACAGAGAGATGTTACTTTCTGTGGCAAACAAATAATGAATATGGCTTTATTTAACAATTGAGATATTTACCTCTGCAAGTTAGCAATTTTTCAGTACCTTCAGAAAAACTATGTGCTGACTGAAAACCTTGAGAGGGAAGAATAGTTTTATTTTATATCTGGAATGTAAGCATATGGTACAGATAAATATTTGTAACAAAGAAAGTGTTGTTATATTAAAATCTGACACACACTTTAATGGTGATATTGTAATCTGTCTAGCTCAGGTTGCTGTTAGGGAAGAATGAATTTAAATGTATGGATAAAATTTCGTTACTGAAACAACTTTCTGAAGTTTGGTCTGGGACTGTGAATTATATTTTTGGAATAACTAAGAATATCACCAACACACCACTGAACCTACCTTTTAGACACAAGGAAAATGTTTTTAATGTTTTTGACTTTCACATAGATTGATTGTATTTCAACAGGAAATGTTATAAAAGCAAATTGAAAATTAGTTATTAGAGAAAGGAAAGTGAATAATTACAAGAAGAAAGTTAATAAACAACTAAATTATGGCTGGAAACCTCTATGATGAGCTTTGTATCAAATAACTACCACTTTGCCTTCTTAAAAAATGTTCTGCAGAGTTGCAGATCACCTTAACCCAGTTAATTAGAGTCTTTAACTACCAATTGAAAACTAATTTCTATTTTTCTTGCAGTTCCAGGATAGACTTAAATGAGAACCATATTATTTTTGTTTTAAAAGCCCTCTGTTGCAGAGGTCTGAGGAGACCACAAGAGTCTGCCAGGGGCTTATTCTCAATGCTTCCCCTCACTTCTTCCACTAGTTATCCCTTTGGTCACTCTTCATCATAGTTCAGTCATAATGGAGATGGGAAAAAAGGAAATTACCTTGACTTTAGCCAGTGATTTAAAGAAGTCCCATCACAGGAAGTAGATTCCTGTATTCCACAAAGGGCTCCCAGCCTAAACCCCAGATCCTTCAATCCTTCAGCATCATATGGGAAACTGTTTCTACCAAGTGTGGAGCCACTTGAGTACATTGGCACATGCAAAGAAAAAGAAATCAGTGGTCTGGAAAAGATTTTCTCTGCTGGAAAATGTGTAATAAGATGCTGCCAATAGCTCAGCTGTGAAAGCACTGGGAGCACAGTCCTGAATATCTGCTGAAAGCACACAAACCTTTTTTGTGCTGGTTGCTTGGCACTCATGCAGCTGAGCTCCTGCAGAAATCTGGGTATGAGATGTCAGAGGAGAGAATAGGACTGACCTGCTTGGTGCTATGAATGCAACCTTTGCCTCCTGATTAAAAGTCTTTGGGTCTCTATCAGGTTTGGGTTCCTTCTGTCCACTAGAATCCCAACAAACTAGGCTTTTAGTGAAAATTTCACTATGAGGCAACTTTCACCTCTATAAACACAGTGTTGAGTGTTAAGTGTAAGCTAGAGTTGAAGAAACAAACCCTGAGCCACAGATCAAAAATATGATTTCAGTGGATATTTCTTCATGTACTCCTGGTTTTTTGGAACTGAGGCTCCTTATATACTCAACTACTAGGAAGGTACGGCTGAGAACCTTGAAATATGAAATTGCTTTTTCCCCTATCCCATCTGATGGAATTCTCAGCAGCTGTGACTGAAGTAAAATGTGACCAAACAGTTTGGGAAGTGGAGAATATGTAAACTAAACACTTCGTAATGACAGCTGTACACTTCTTCCAGCAAAGTTATGCTACAGGTGAGCCAGGATATACTGGCAGAGAGGTGATTTCTGCCATGGAGCATATATGAAAGCCACTGGACTTTTTCAGGCGGAAATCCTCCAAGCTCATCTGTAACTCTGTAACAAAATATTTTTATGCAAATGTTGAGTATGATATAGTGTATACATTTCAATATGCATCTTCTAATAGGCTAATTAGGCCTACTCTATTTCTCAGCATCCCTGGGCTCACTAGGAACTGGACGCCTGCACTTCCTTGAAGACCTGAATTTTGCTGCCTTAATGACATCTTCATAGACTCAGAAGAAAGATATTAATTTTATGTGTGAGAAATTGAATTTTTAGCTAGATTTACCCATATTCTTTTCATGTCAGGCAGACCTTCATTTTTCTCACTAGTTTGAGTTTTGGAAACTAATAGAAAGGAAAAAAATTGTGAAAAACTTATCTATTGCTTACCTCACAGCTATGATATCTGAGTAGTTGTAACACAAATTGCTTTGGAGTAAGAGTATTTAATTTTCTTTTTTTGTTTGTTTGTTTCATTTTGTTTTTACTTTGCCAAAATCTTCAGATACGAGCTATAGTGTGACATCATATAATTTAGTACTCTGAGATCAAAGAATTGCTTTCCTGCTATTGTGATAGCAATGAGTAGTTTCTTGTAATCACATATGTGATGTGAAATCATGGATTTATTGTTTTTATTTTTGGAGTGAGAATATAACTTTTCCAGACTGACTAATTAAAACAAAAAAGGAAGATAACCTAGGTGGGACTCAGATGTCCTTGACTTGCCTGGAAAAGCTTCTTTGTTAAATTTCTGTGTCAGGAATCAGCCTGTAGATGTCCCCCAACACACATAGTGCTACATCCAGTGCTCAGTTCTGTTGAGAGCAGCTATCACATTTATAAATTACCAACAACCCAAGTTAAAGAGAGACAGAGAGACAAAAAGCTGTTCAGGAATGACCATTCTGTGGGAGGACAGTTGAGGTAATGGCAGACTGAAGAATATCTCAGACCGAGAGAAATACAAGCTAAACAAGAGCTGATAAAAAGAAATAGAAATGAGTCTTATAGAAGACTGAAAAATGGAGCCAATAATGACACATTTCACTGTGACTCTAGGTATGGAAATGATACATTTTCCTCTGGCTTGGTGAGCCAGAACTGACCTTAGCACTGTAAATACTTGATGAAATGAATGTTGTACATCCATGAAGTGACCGGTTTGTCTTTAACAGAACCAGCAGGTTAGGGGGAGGAAAGACAGCTCAGTCCAAAATTATCCTGATGAAATGAGGAATTTTGGTGACCTTTACCTATGTTTAGCTAATGTAATTAACTGCTGAATAGTGCTTGCATCACTGGGGAACCTGGTCCTACCTCTATAACCTACAGTGGAGCTGGATAAACACTGCATATGGTTTATAACAATGAGTGGAATCCTAAAGACTTGTTTGTTTCACCAATTTACAACCTGTTGTCTTCAATAAACAGCTAATTTCTTCTCACAGAAGACTTTCATAAATGGTTTCTCTTTGTATCATACCCATATCCACATGAAACCAAACACATTTTTCAGAGAATCCATTTCTCACAATTTATTATTTGCTCTCTTGGCAGTTTGGCCACTAATCTTCTGTTTTCAAAACTATCCAGAGAGAACCTGAAAGAATACAGAGTAACTTTTCCCTCAGCACAAATAATCCACAGCCAAAGCCAACACTGAGTGACTTTTAGCTGGGAAATTTCATAGCATTTAGATTCTGCTCTCCTCCTGTTCTAACACAGATCACAGCACAGCAAGTAATGGAAACTCAGCAGCATCCAGCCTGCAGATGAGTTTCAGGTCTGCCTATGCCCCGGTGACAGTTCCATAACCAGCCCTAAGGCCTCCAGCAGTGGATTCTCCCAGGCCTCCCTCCAGGCAAGCTACTCTGATATTTGATTGCTTCATTTTTTGAGTGACTTCCTCAATCTTCTTTCCATCATCTTCTTTTCCACTTTTTTTGTGGGCATAGCTAATAACAACATCTCCAATTAAATAATAATAATTTCTAATTTATCAGTGATCTGCATACTGGAACACTGCTATGTTCCACTCTCTTCTGTCCTCCCCTTCCTTAAGCAGCACAATCCTGTTTCTTTCATCCCTTCCTCAGTGAAGACCTTTTCAAGACACAATTTACCACTTCCCTCCAGAGTCTTTCCAGGTGCTGCACATTTTCCAGGAAGATACAATGTGATATTATTTTGTGATTAGGTTGCTGTTCACCAAAACACACATAATTGTTTTGGTAGAGCTGTTAGATAGTATCCTGGTTTCTTTTCCCCATTATTTCTGCCTAAATTGAAATGTTTTGATGACAAATAAGCAATTTTCAATGTTTTCCATCCACCTTTAAGTACTTTGTTTTTACAGAACCATTGTTGAATCAATGACATTTTTCTGTGTAATAGTGGAAAAAATCCTTAGAGATACAGAGGATAAGCAAACAGGAGTGTAAAGATTCAACTCAATGATGTTCTTTTCTAACCCTAATGTTTCTATATTTCTAATACTCTTTATTTCAGTAGGATTTTGAACACTGTTAGGGAGGTAGCAGTGCTACTCATCTGCTACTAATCAGAATAACTTTCCCAAAGTCACACTGCAAGCATTTTGATGTAACTAATGCAGCACAGAAATGGAGACTGCATTCTGACCAACAGGGAAAAATAATGGAGTCCTGGAATAACTGAACTATTCACTCAAGAAACATTTAAAATGTGATACAATAAAGTATTTCTATAAATCAATTTTTCATGGCTAACCAGTAAGTTTTCTTCTTCTATACTACTTAATGAATAAAAGACATGTTTAAAAATTTATTTCTAGTAGTTTTTAGAGGAATTTTCAAAAAAAAAAAAAAAGAGTTGACTGAAAGAAGTGTGTATCAGACCATATATCTGTAACACAGTTCTGAAGTAAGCCATTTTTCATTCCATGGATGATCTAAGGTGAATATATTTCTTCACGTGTATTGCTTCTGGCCAGTAAGTGGATGTGTAATTTAGCTCTTTCTCTTGTAGAGTGAGCCCCAGTCTAAAGGAATGTAAAAAAAATTGCATCTGAGCTTTCAAGTAACAAGTTGCACACAGGGGACTTGCTGTGAAGAGCTGTTGAAATGTAAGGTGCTAAGACTTATAACAAGGTAACCACATACACTGAGCCTTTAGTATGATTGATTGTGCTTTTGGTTTTGGGGTTTTTGGGTTTTTTGGGTTTTTTTTTTTTTTGGTTTTTTTTTTTTGTGGTCTTAATTTTCTCTTTTTTTTCTTTTTTTTCCTTTGCAGTGGTGATGTATTTTGCTTTGTTTTCTGACACAAACCTGCAGACAAATTGTAGGGGGTGGGAAAGAAACCACTTGAACTGCTGACTGCTTCAGTGAGGCTGAGGGTACAAGGGATATCTCATATTTCATCAAACCTCCAGCGGGCACCCAGAGAGATTGAGGAGAGCAGGTCTGGGTGAGCAGTGCCACTAGTCAGTGAAAAGTTAAGAGTCGAGTGCTAAGCAGTACTTTTTCTGTAGATCTACCCGATCAAATAATTTTCTCAAAGACAGAGCAAGAGTATGAGAGTTGTGCTGGGTTAAGATTGATTATGCACATGTTAATCAAAGGCACAGAAAAGCTTTGCATCAGGTTGATGTAGCTTAGCAAGTCAGCTTACTCAGTGAAGTCAGAAAAGCTGTGATAATTACCTGAATTTCAGGTTTCCACTGCATCTTTTGTGTTTTCCTGGTGCTCTTTTGCCACACACCCATAGAAAAGTTATTCCCAGTGCCATAGTCAAAGATACATTAATAAACTAAAGGAATCCACTTCTTTTGTTTACACTCTAGAGTTTACATATTTCATTCTGCTAAAACAGTAGCAAAAAGAAGTAAATGTGTCCTTTTTAAAATGTTAAACTGATTTTTTAATATATATATTTATTACTATATCTGTCAGTTATTCCTTCCACTTGTTTCTGTCTTTTGCAGGGTGAGGAGAAGTTGACCTCAGTATTAGAAGTTTTCTTTCCACAGTTGTGTCAGGACATGGAAGAAGCCAATTGCTGTCTCTGACCCCAGTCACACACAAAAATAACAGATGTCTCAGTATGCTGAGATCAGACACTAAGGGGAGCTGAGGAGAACAGATGTTGCATCAACAGAGTTTTTCTTCTTCTGAATTGTTTTGAAATAAAGTGTTGTTTTCTGGCCTTTTTTCTTCCTAATTGAATTTCCTATATTGAAATAGATCTCCTGATATCAAGTCTAATTATTTGCATTTATTTAGGGATGAATCCACAAAAGCACAGATTGAGCTTTAATTGTATACATATCTTTCCATGAGAAATTTCTCTGAAGAAACATCATGTACTTTATCCAGAAAATGATCTTATCTCTGTAGAATAAAGTGAGGCCAAATTATCTACTTAAGATGATTAGTAGATTATCTACTTTATATTATCTACATATAAATGACATACTTTTAAAAATGTACAATCAGTATGGAATCAAAATATGGTAATAATTTTGACAGATTAAGTGGACTCAAGGATCACAAAGGTGTTAACCTGATCAAGTCACTGTAAAGCAGTCACAAGTATATCAGATATTTGAGTGTAGAGACCCTGGATCCCCATGGCTAATTCCCATGATAAATAAACTGGAATATTCTTGCTAAACACAGACACTGGCACACACACTCACATTCACACACACACACACACACACATACAAAGTTTAGATTAGACTGTAATGGAGGAAAAAACACAACAAAACAAAACAAGTTTAGGAAACAGCCTTATTGTGAAAAGTTAATTTATTTGTACATTTTCTGAGCCTTTTTTTTTTGTCCAAGATATTGGTCAAGGCCTCTTAGTCTGCAATAGTCTTAATTATTATTAGAGAAAAGTAAACAGTTTCTGCTGAACAGTTTCTGATTTTAGTCTTTTGCTCTCTCTGGTAAAAAGTAGAGAGAAGAGGAGGGATGAGACGTTTGGTAGTATCAGGTGAAGTTGTTGGGGAGCCAAAAGCAGCTGACATTTGTGGTGGATGGTCAGAGCCTCTGGGTCAACCTCTGCTGTTAGATTACAAGTTTTCCTCAGTCCCCCAGCTAAAGCTGCAACCTGGCATGTCCAGCTGGGCTCCCTCTGCCTCTCCTGAAATGAACTCCTGGGGCTGCTCTTCAGAGTGAGTGCAGAGTCATGGAACCAAAGAAAATGAGGGAGAGAAAACAGCTGGGGTGGGAGCGGTGGTAGTGTGTGGCACAGGTTGATATAAAGAGGATTGGAAGGAAGGCAGTGCCAATGCAGTGGCATGGTGTTGGAGAGAAGAGACTGCTGTATGAGCCCCAGTCTCCCCTGAGGTGGATCATTCTGAGCTGCTGTGGTCCTACACATGCTCATGCGTTGCTCAAGGACATTGCTGTCTGCCATTTCTGGGATAGACTAGCTATGCACACTCTGCAGGACTCAGGACACTGACATTCAGAGTGTAGTATGACAAATTTTGATCAACTCATAAATTCAAAAGCAGGACCAAGGACTTTATTCCAAAAAGTATAGTTCTCTTATCTTGAATGGGTTTTGCTCTTAATGTCTGCCTAAAGGTATGAGTTGAATAAATATTTTTCAAAATCGTAATTAAGAATAATATTAATAAATTGAGAAGTATTAATTAACGTTGGAAGATTTGTTACCTCTATGCTCTACTGCTCTAGCAGATTCAGATGCACAAAAGCTCAATTACACCCAAAGAACATGTTGAATCCTTGCCAAGCAGGAGGATGTGGTTCACGTTTCACTTCCCAGTTCTGATTGTTTTGTTACCAGGATCTGTTTCATTCTCACTCAGCTCCAAGAGAAGATCTGTGTGCTTGTCGTCTTCCTATGTACATTGGTTTCCTTTCAAAAACAACCTGAGGTTGTGGACAGGGTGGAATCTGTGGTATGCTCTGATATCTTCCCAGACAGTGTATTCTGAGGGCCAGGGGTGTGGGTGCACCATTCTGCATCCCCATCATAGCCAGAGTCTCTGCTTGGAGAGCAGTGCTGATATCACTGTGAAGAGCAGATCTTGGTAGCATCTTCAGGGACGTCAAAAGTTGAGTTTCTGTTGTGCCATAGGAAACACCTATAAAAAAAAAGACAAGTCAAAAACCTGTGATTGTACAAGACCCCTGTTATCTCCATTTTTTAAAATGATGATCTAGGAGAAAGTTATAATAATTTATTTAAATGGTATTGTTCATTATAATAAAATTATACAACTTCGTTGTCTGCTTTCTATAAACATTACGCTAAAGATCCAGAGGGGAAGCTGAAATGTAAACAGTACTTTTTAACATAAACATTCACTAAGAGTCTTGCTCTTTTTTTCTAAAGACTCCACACCAGCACTTGATGGCAAACTTAAATGAAATTGTTTGAAGAGTGGGTTTAACATTTTTCAGTACAGATAAACACCATACTTGAAAGTAAATACTGTTGTGTGACATGCACAACCGTAGAAACATACCATTTTAATCATTACTGACAACATTTCTTCTTCATCCTTAGTATTACATCACTAATTGAGGTGAAATTACCTTTGATTTTACTGATGGAAATGCGAAAATTTACATTCTTATTTTATAACATGTAAACAACTAAATTTAATGTATCTGTAATGAATTTAGGAGGTGGTATTAAATGCCATTACTAACTTCATATGTTAGTCATGTTGGTCCATGAACAAACTGAAAACTTTGCTTATGTGAAAAGTGAGAAGGTTGTTTGCCTCTCTCTCTCTATGAAATGGTTCATTCTCCCACACAAAAAATATCTCTCAATTATGTTGTAGCTTAATCTAAGCTATGGCTCTTCTGACTGAGAAAATACTTGTGTATCCTTCATGTCTGGGAGCGTGCAGTCCTCTAATGATGTAAACCACTTCCACTGCTATGTCTGGAAGAAATGGTATCAACCACATACCGTGTCTTGTGCCTCTGTCCTCCTGCTCCTCTCTCCTAAAGTGGTTTTTCATGACAAGTGTTGCAAAACAGAAGCCAGTGGGAAACGTGCTTCTGAGCAAAGTAACTCTGTGAAGCAGAAAGTTAGAACCAGAGAACAAAAGGTTAGTTTTCTTGAAGAAAAGATAACAGCTTGAACCTCTCTCCCTCTTCTCTCCCCACATCAGAAAAGGGTGCACTAGTGAGGTTAGGTCAGCGGACACATGTTTTAAATTAGTGGTTTATAAACAAGGAAGTGACAATTATTCGTTATGATTATTTGTCAAATAATCACATCTGTACCTAATTATCATGTATATGACAATGTTTGCATTTCTCTTTAAGCTGAATTCAGTGAGGACAGCTTAGATGGTAAATTGTGAGCCCACATTTAATGGGTACAAATATTTTAACACTGCACATTGTGTTAAAAGTTATAAATAAAAGTGCCATGTAGTTCTAATCAGTCTCACTCCTTATCTTTCACTTGCAAAGTTTATGAAATACAGCAATGAATCTTACATACTCTCTGTGATGTGGGTTTCTCTCATTCTTGAAGACTTCTTATCAGATAAATTTTAGTCTTATTGTTTTATTAACAAATAGTGTTCTCTCTTTATTAACACATACAAAGCCTCACTATACTCTGGCCATGCTAACATTTTCAATATTCATCTTATTTATTTATATTTCTTTTTTCTATCTTCGCATGTAGTTCAATGGTTTACTTTCCAAGGTCAGCTTTTTTTAGGTGTCACAAACTCAGTTTAGGGATTCCATATCTAAAATGCTCATTTGAATAAAGATAGAAACTTTTCTTTGACATTCTTCTCCTTCAGAAATTCTTCTCTCAGATTCAATCCAAAAGTGTGTTTGGGGAAAGGGAAATGTAAGTATGTCTTTACATGAGTGTTTGTTTGCCCCAGAGGTGTTTGTGCTGTCATCTCTTAAAGTGCTTGAGTTTAGGAGGCACTCAGGGTCCAGGGAAACATAACACATGCTTGAATTCTTCCAAGGCTTTGGATTGGATTCTTGGAGTATGTGTGATGTTGTCTTGCCTGCTCTGAAAGAATGCTTTCCCAGCTGTGTCAGGGTTTTAACACCCCGTTATGTCATTCTTGTGTGTCTTACAGGGAGCAGGGTAAGATGTGTATCACCATCCTGTTTGTGGTGAAAGAGCATGTCTGTGACAAATTCAGACAGATTGGGAGATGTTGTGGGAATCCCTGGCTGGAGGAATGCCTCTGTGGTTTGTCTGACAGGGCCGTGTTTCTGTGTGTGGTCATGCTTTGGCAGCTGTGCTGCCTTACACGGTGGGAAGTCTGGCAGCTCTTTTTCTGTCATCCATATACCTTTGCCTGCTGCTCGGATTTTTAAATGAACTTATTCAAGGGACAACAATTTGATCTCTTTGTCTCAGAGCCCACTGTCTGAAGTCTCTCTAGCTTGGGTCTGTGAGCTGTGGCCAAGTGGGCAGCAGCAGGTTGCACCAGCTGTGCCCCCAGCAGGCCCCTGTGCCCAGGGCTTCTGCACAATTTCACTTTGGGACAGGCCATGAGAAAGAGGCCTCAAAGTTAAACCTTGGGTATTGGGAATAGCTACAGGAGAAAAAAAAAAGGTTTAATTTTAAAATACACAGTTCATTGTGTATTTGTGGAACTAGTGACCAGCCACGGAGAGGTATGATGTTACTCAACTGTAACAGCATTACCCCACTTGCATCATATGATGATGATTTCCCTGATCCTTTTTAGGTAAGATGAGACACCAAGGATGATCTCACTTACTCCAGTGTTCAAGGGAATAAAATTAACATTTATTCTTGCTCAACACAGGGTCAAGATCTAGTTTAAGTCTTCATTTGGTTTCTCAATTGCCACATTTCTGGTGGCATGATGACAGCTGGAAAATCAAAATTGGAAAATTCTAGCCTGGCTGTTACACCTTGTTGCTCAGCAAGCCATCTAAGGTGGAAATTAACCTAAAAACCTGTTTTCCAATTTCCTGAGGATATGCTTTCATGAGTAGGCCATTGTTTCCAGGCTATAATTTCATTTTGTGTTTCTCTGTGCGCATTTTGGAATGAAAAAGGGTGAGCTTTGTGTTAGACTCAGTTCTATCCAAGGGAGCTGGGAGCTTAAGCATACCTGTTGGACTGTTTTTCTGTGGCAGTTTAGATTTAAATTAAGTATCTTCCAGCAGGACTTAGACATGGTTCCTAATAAAAAGGACTTCATACTCCAGTTTAAAGAACTCTACCTTATAGCTCCAAAAGATGTTATTGAATAATTGTAGGTACATGAGAACAGGGGATAGGAATACTGAGATTTGTATGCATGAATGTTTTGAGCTTAGTCAAAAATGGTGTGATCTGAATATATTTACAGCCCAGCAGAAACAGAACCTCCGTTTTCAGAAAAAACAAACTGATGTAGAAGATGGAAAAGTTTCACCCTAAGAACAATAGGAAAAGGTCAAATTGGTATTGTAGTGTTAATCAAATCTCTTCACAAGATTCGCATGACTCTAATATTTAAAATTAAGACCTCTAATCTGTTAGGGAGAAGGAAAAACACATGTCTACTCTTGTTTTCTTGAATATATACACCGAATATAGTCACTTAGATAACAGCTAGTGTTAATCAGTCAGCAAATGACACCTGAAGACATAACTACAGAGAGAAGGTGAAATAACATTATCATGGTAGAATTCAATATGAGCAGCTGCTTGTACTGTCTTGTTGACTATAGTTAAATGCCACAATTTTTGGAAATGATAG